TGGGGGGGAGGACTAATTATAATCACCCATTTGTACCAAATCAAGTAAGTTAATTAAATTAAAAGTTACAAATTAAAGTAAAAATGTATATTTCTTAACTATAGTTAAGTAAGTAAATAAAGTTAACTTAAAAAATACATGTATATTGCATGCATTTATTGGTGGTGTAACCCTGTAACAATTACTTCAGTTTCAGCTCTACAAATATAGAAGCTAATTCAAATATACATCAAGACTAAAAGCTACAAGAGATACCAGAATCTTCAACGGGTATAATTTAGAAATTAATGAAATTATCCTGCTCAACATCGTCATTCTTTAGGATTTTTTTTCCTAAAAAATAAAATAAAAGAATGTAAGAAAATGTTTCACGTCGTAAATGTTCCTAAAAGGAAACAAAAAGATTCAAGGAAAGAAATAAATTTATTTCTGTATGCAGATTTTACTATGTTTCCTTAGTCAGCTAGCTGGCAATGAGTTGCAAATAATAAATTGCAGGAATTAAGCTTACGAAACTATGAATCCACGCCATTTTCACGTCGAGAAACAGAATCAAACCATTTTGAGGCAACCATTAATTAAATAACACTGTCTATATATAAAGTATCTTGTCATAATATAACACCATATAACCATTCAAATTCCAAAGGAAAAAAATACAAATACACCACCCTCAAAATTTTCTTCTCCAATTTCACAGTAATCTTTCTACATGGAAGAAGGACAAAACTGGAAGAAATTAGAAAATGAAGACGAACAATCCCCTGTAGAAGAAGTTCGTATAACTGTACCAACAGATGATGATCCTTCAGTTCCAGTATGGACATTTCGAATGTGGTTTTTAGGGATAATTTCTTGTGCATTATTGTCTTTTATCAACATTTTCTTTAGTTACAGGCAAAATCCACTTATTATTTCTATGATTACTGCACAAGTTGCGTCGTTACCATTAGGTAGACTAATGGCAAAAGTTCTACCGACGAGGAAGTTTCATTTGCCTGGATTTGGTTCGAGGGAATTTTCGCTTAATCCAGGTCCTTTTAGTATGAAAGAACATGTTTTGATTTCTATATTTGCTAATGCTGGTGCTGGATTTGGTGGTGGAACTGCTTATGCTATTAGTATTGTGGATATTATTAAGGTCTTTTATCACAGGAAAATCTCCTTCTTGGCTGGTTGGATCCTTGTCATTACTACACAGGTTCATTTCTTAATCCATTTGTCTTAGTTTGTTTGGCGCAATTAGACTTGACAGTTGACACAGAATTTAAAAGAGTTACTGCTAGATTATGAAATGCTATTATTACTCTCTTAGTCTTATGTAGTTGGACACGACTTGTGTCATGTGGCAAAATATGAATGTATGTAGCAATCTTTAATATTTTAATGTAGGAAGGTGCGCTTGGACGGATCTATATATATATATATAGGGGTGGACCCACCTTGTATGAGGGGGGTTTCAGTTGAACCGTTTCGTTAGAAAAATTAATTATTTTTAATTACCTTGGAATTTCAACGTAAAATTATGATGAAACTGATAAATATTATAATACCTGAACCCACTTGATACTAACAAAAGCTGTAGAGCTGTGGCAAAATGGGTTCAAAGTAAGGCCAATGTCCCAATTTCGAACTGCTGCTAATGGAATGAACTACCTATGGCCTTTTTGCTGAACGTATATATTATTTTGCTTATTGTTTCCTGTTTTGTCTTTGTTTTCTTACATCACTTTATGATTCTTTTTTTTATTTAAACCCAATAAAAGCTATTTTTATTAAAATCCTCCATTTTACTTTAGAAAAATTTAATCCTTTCTACAAAATGAATTTTTGTTCTAGAACGTTATCGAAATTACTTGTAATCTTTTAATTTAGTTTAGTTTAGTTTGTATTGAAATTATTAATTTGTGTTATATTCAAAGCTTGAGTTTGGTGTAAAATGTCTTTTTCTTTAATAATTTGTATAAATTAGTTTAGTTTATTACTCTCTTTTTTCATGTCTTTTGTTTATAACAATTTTCTATGTTAAATTTCTTAAATTTATAGTATAATTTTTAAGTAGGTTAAATACTTTTTGGTTAAATTGCTAAATTTTCTGAAATAGAATTTGTTAATTTATATAGATAAATGTTTAAAAAAATTAATGGACGAAATTTTCTTTTTTTAAAAAAAGAAATCCCTCCTACCTTCAAAAAAATGACTTCATTTTGAAGTGATTTGATGAACAAAAAAGAGCAGTGCACAAATTTCGTTTACCGCTGCACTTATACAATCGATTACCGTGATTTTTGATTGAACTCGTTTGTACAAAATCTTGAGTCTGCCACTGTATATATGGGAGGGGTGAGTTCATGTGAACCCATGCTCCCCTCCGTATAACACTTGTATTTTTTTTTTTAATTCTTAAATAAGCATATGTGAATCCATGTTCAAGTGGGCAGTTTGGGTGGTCAATGAGTGCACCTTTGGCCCAAAGTTTAGGGGTTCAATTCCCACTTGCTCCCTTAGAGATAATTAATTAAATATGCTTCTGTTTTCTTTATTGTTTCCTTTAACTTTTTAATTACTTGGCAAAGTTATTCTTTAAAAAGAAAGCTTTCACTAATAATGCAAATCATGTATCTACAGGGAAATAAAAGTACATAAAAANATATATAATGTAAGATATTTAAAACGGTAAGTAATGATTTTATTATTGATAGTTTTCAAAAACTCGTCGAGAAAAAATAATGTTAATAATATTAATTAGAATTTGCTCGTCAACTTGGATTATCGTAAAAAAATTATATTGTCAAATCATATATTTATCTAAAGATATTGGTGGGGCCATGCCCTTAAAATTCTGAATACGCCTCTGGCACTAGTACAAAATAAATTGAAACAGTATTCCGTAAGAAAAAATATTATTTTGTTTGCAAGTTTTCCTTCAAAGTATAGATTGGAAGAGACAATATTTTAAATTACACATGAGTGGCAATTGGAGAAGCACTCTATTTCTATTTCTGAGCAATATCTTTATTTTGTTTGTATTAATGGCAATTTTCAATGGTTTCAGGTTTTAGGATATGGTTGGGCTGGTATTATGAGGAAGTATGTAGTAGAGCCTGCAGAAATGTGGTGGCCATCTACCCTTGTTCAAGTCTCTATTTTCAGGTAAGAATTTAAAACAAATACTTAGGACATTCTGTTATTTCACTTTTCAAAGAAATAACAATTTTAAGGTCAAAGAAATTCAAGTTCCTAACATTCTTATCTTGATGAAGTAGTACATCACATAATCTTTAAAAGGAAAGGAAAATAACAAAAATGTTTTAGTAATTATGATTTTAGCTAGTCTTAAGTAATGGTTTTATAATTAATGTAACAAATGCTAGAGATTGTTCAATTTGTCAATAATGTACAAGAGTGAACCTTCTTACTTAAGCGTATTATTACCTGTATTTACCATTAGTTTGCTTCTATATTTTGTTTTTGGTCATTTGGTCGAATTACTTAGCTGATAAGTTCTGGTTTTTATGAAATTTTGCAGGGCATTACATGAGAAAGACAATAGTGGCAACTACTCTAGAGGAAAGTTCTTTTTAATAGTTATGACTTGCAGTTTCACTTGGTACATTGTCCCTGGTTATCTCTTCAAAACTTTGTCAACCGTTTCTGTTCTCTGTTTGGCATTTCGAAAATCAGTATTAGCCCACCAACTTGGATCAGGCCAAAATGGACTTGGCATTTTATCTTTCACTTTTGATTGGTCAGTCGTTGCATATCTAACCAGTCCATTGGTCACTCCATTCTTTGCCATCCTCAACATTTTGGTTGGCTATGTTATAATAGTCTACATCATGATACCTGCAGCCTATTGGGGTTTTAATCTCTACAATGCCAACAAATTTCCCCTTTTCTCCACTAATTTATTTGATGCCAATGGCCAGAAGTATAATGTTTCAGCTATTGTCAATGACAAGTTTGAGATAGACATGCCTACATATGAAAAGCAAGGACGAATAAATCTTAGCATCATGTTTGCTCTTTCATATGGACTCAGTTTTGCAACAATTGTGGCTACCCTTACACATGTCATCTTATTCAATGGGAGGTAAGTGAAAATAACCTTTGCTATTATCCTATATTGGTTGCACTTAACCGGCAAAGGGCAGCGCGGTACACTAAGCTCCCGCTATGCGCGGGGTCCGGGGAAGGGCCGGACCACAAGCGTCATAGTACTTAGTTTTACCCTTTATTTATGCAAGATGCTGTTTCTGTGGCTCAAGCTTGTGACCTCCTGGCCACATGACAATAACTTTCCCGGTTGCACTTACCTGGTTGTATCAAACTATAAGATGTGTGGTTACAAGTTATGTTGCTCGGATCCTTTAAAATGTTGTCGAAAATGCATTTTTTAGGATCCAAGCAACATTGATTCTTCAATTCTTACAAATAGAAGAGACTACTAGTACATTTTTGTGCAATTATGTATGTGAAATAGCTGAACACTGAGTTTATTATTGAGCAGGGAAATATATGGCCGATTTCGAGCTTCATACAAAGGAAAAACAGATATACATACAAGGCTTATGAGGAAATACAATGACATTCCTTCGTGGTGGTTCCACACAATCCTTGTTCTCTCATTTGCGCTCTCTCTTGTACTCTGCACAGTCTTGAAATCGGAGATTCAGCTACCGTGGTGGGGACTCATTTTCGCTTGTGGTATTGCCCTTATTTTCACCCTCCCTATTAGTATTATTCAAGCCACAACAAACAATGTAAGTCGAAAAAAACTCAATATATAGTGTGTTGTTTTTTCTCAGTATATCTCAATCATATATAGTGTGTTGTTTTTTCGTGTGACAGTCACCAGGTCTAAACGTGATCACGGAGTATATTATTGGACTAATAATTCCAGGGAAACCAATAGCCAATGTTTGCTTCAAAACATATGGTTATATTAGCATGGCTCAGGCAGTGTCTTTTCTACAAGATTTTAAGCTTGGCCATTATATGAAGATTCCTCCTAGATCAATGTTTGTAGTTCAGGTATCACTCTTGTAAAAGTAACCATTTCTTGACTTCTTTTTTACTTCTATAACCAACTTAATGACCCCTTTTCTTTTCTATAGATAAATTCAAATTTAGCTCTTAGCATATTATTTGATTTCATTTTTTTGCTATCCATTTGCAGTTAGTTGGAACTTTCATTGCTGCAACAATTAACATGGCATCGGCGTGGTATATGCTGACACACGTTCCGTTCATATGTCAATTGGATTCACTACCTAAAGGCAGTCCATGGACTTGTAGAGGTGACCATGTTTTCTATGATGCATCAGTGATCTGGGGTTTAGTAGGACCAAAGCGATTTTTCGGACCTCTAGGAAATTATGGTGCATTGAACTGGTTCTTCTTAGGAGGTGCTATAGCACCAATCTTAGTGTGGCTACTACACAAATCATTCCCAAAACAGAGTTGGATTAAACTTATAAATATCCCAGTATTACTTGGAGCAACAGCAGCGATGCCTCCAGCTTCAACTTTGAATTTCAATAGCTGGTTTGTGATTGGAACTTTGTTCAATTTCATCATTTTCCGATACAGAAAGAAATGGTGGCAGAGGTACAATTACGTACTTTCTGCAGCGTTGGATGCTGGATTGGCTTTTATGGGGGTTTTCATTTATCTATTTTTCGGTCTTACGAATCATGAGAACATCAATTGGTGGGGAAATGTTGAAGACTACTGCGATTTGGCTAAGTGTCCAACTGCTAAAGGAATTCAAGTTGATGGCTGTCCATTGCTTTGATCAATGATTTCTAGTACTTACTAATATTGGTAGGTTTCTGCTCATAGTTTTATTTTGGTGGTTTTCTTTGATCTTTGGGTATGTATATTGCCTTGTGAACAATGGCATTACTTCTTTAGGGTACCAGTATTGGGTTTAAATTGATACTGAAAATCAATTGCATTAAGTTTGAACTTATATCAAATCGGTACTTGTTCAATAAAATACAAAGGAACAAGACATAACCTAAACCACACAAGAATGAAAAACTATATACAATTTCATATGTGAATATAGAACAATTTATAAGCTAGTGGTTTCGCATTTCCTTGTCGTGGGTATTTTCCCTACAATGTGTACAAACCAAATATGTGTTAAAGAAAAACCATTATAACAACAGCAATTGTGATCCCATACGTGGGATCTGTGGAGGACGGGATGTACGCAGACATTACCCTTACCTTGTGGAGGTAGAGAGACTGTTTCCGATAGAGAAAAACCATCGGAGAAACTTAAAAAGTTGGACAACCGTCTACAGATATGCCCTTGGCTGTAGGACAATATGCTAAATCACAATGCTCAGGGTCATTATTTCCCCACCAATTTATGCTTCTATTCTCCATTCCCACACTAAAGTAGAGCAACACAGCCATAAAGGCAACTCCAACATCTAAAGCTGCTGATAGGATATAGTTATACCTCTGCCACCATTTCTTCCTATACCTGAAAACAAAAAAGTTGAAAATCGTCCCGACCAAAATCCAAGAATTGTAGTTGAGTGCAGTTGCTGGTGGCATCATAGCTGTTGCTCCAAGAAGTACTGGAAGGTTAATAAGGGGTATCCACGTTTGCTTCGGGAACGACTTATGTAGTAACCACACTACAACTGGTCCAAGCATTCCTCCAAGAAAGAACCAGTTTAGTGCTGAGTAATTGCCAAGATGACCAAATATCCGCTTAGGACTCACGAGACCCCAAATTACTGATGCATCAAAGAAGACGTGATCACCGGGGCAAGTCCAAGGGCTGTTGGAAAATTTATCCTGATGACATATGTTGTCTATAGAATCCAAAAGCCACCATGCTACACTCAGGTTAACTGTTCCTGCAATTATGGTTCCAAGGAACTGGAACAGAGAGAACGTCAAGCAGTGATTCTAAGAGAAAGGAACCTAGCTAGGTTAGTGTTCAAGAGTGTAACACTAAAACTCTTGAATTTGGAGGTTATTGTAGATTTACTACCTAGGTTGAAGTATTTAGCATGTATTGAACTCTGCATAACTTACTATGGGATAAAATCGTACCTGAACTAAAAACATTGACCGCGGATATAATGACCAAGCTTGAAATCACTGAGAAAAGAGATTGCTTGAGTCATGCTCATATAGCCATAAGTCTTGAAACACACATTAGCAATAGGTCTTCCAGGATATAACACCCCCATAATGTACTCGGTGATTATGTTCAGTCCTGGAGTCTGACGGAATGAACAAATACACAAAGCAATCAGTCGTGGTATCTTACTATGCCGAAACCAAAAACAGAAAAAAAAAACAATATAATAGGTAAATTGGAAGTCTGTGGTCATATCAGACAATCAAAGAGAAGGATAGATCAGCATTTAGGTTACCTGATTCGTGGTTGCAGTAATGATGCTGATGGGAAGGGTGAATGTGAAAGCAAGGACAGCGGCAAGGATGAGTCCCCAGTAAGGCATCTGAACCTGATTCTTCAGGAAAATGCAGAGGGCAAGTGATACAAGAATTGTCACGAAAAGAAGCAAGTAAAACCACCACGAAGGTATGTCTTTGTATCTTCTCATCAGCCTCGTGTGGACATCGACCTTTCCTTCTGAGGAAGCTCGATAGCGTTGGTAAATTTCTCTTCATGAAGGACCAGTAAATGTGAGAACTCAGGCTTGGAACGTATAAATTTAAACGAACTAAAATTGCTTATGGAAAGGAAAAATGAGGAGAATATAACCTTCCATAAAATAAAGCAACATGAGTGAGCGTAGAAGCAATGGTGGCAAATCCAAATCCATAAGTAAGAGTAAAGAAAAGGCTCAGGTTTATTCTCCCTTGCTTCTCATACTCGGCTAAATCAAGATTAAATTGCTTATTCACAATCAGTGATATGTTATACTCCTGACCTTGTGCGGTAAACAAATCAGACGAATATAGAGGGAAATTTTTGGCATTGAAACCCCAGTAGGATACAGGAATCACTACATACATTATCAAGGCATAGCCAACAAAGACATTGGCTATTGCAAAGAATGGACAAATAAGAGGACTGAACAAGAATGAAGCTACAGTGGCCCAGTCTAACGTGAACGCCCCGACTCCTAGGCGATCACTAGTAGCCCACTCTAACGTGGCTACTTATTCACAGGTGATCCAATCTGTTGAGCAGTGACTGAGTTTGGATATGCCCAACACACCCATGAAATACTTGATAGAGCTTGGAAGATATAACCAGGGAATAAGTACCATGAAAAACTGCATACTAATGCTATCACAAAGAACTTTGCACGGGACATTTCCCGCTTGTTTCCTTTGCCATTCGCAATTTCATTGTCATCTTCATCTTCATCTTCTTTTTCATGGAGTGCCCTATAAAATTAATGACTTTGTAAGAGTGCTTGTTAGCTGAATAACTAAATCAATCAAAATTCTTGTACATTCGTGTGTGTGTATATGTATATAATAAAATTTGTTATATTTTATATGTATCCTTATCTTGAATTAAAACAATTAATATGAAGAAATGATAGGAGCCAAAAAGAAAATGAAATTTAGATGACACTATGTGATTGTCCACTGGTCATGTATGGCTTGATTATAGCTTTGTTTGGATTACATAAAAAAGTGAAGTAGACATAAGAATTAAGCTGTTACACCTTGTGTATTCGGCGTTATCATGCTGTAAATGGGATAATTCGATAGGAAGATAATTTCTATGAGATATTTAAATGATGTGATAGTTATACGTTAAGATTGGAAGTCATTTGAGTTGTGATTAAAAATTCGACAAAGATCGCGCGCAAGTTACGAGTTTAAATTTCACTGGAATTTGGATAAAATGTTGATGACCTTTTCTCTCAATATACTGGGAGTTATGGTGTGTTCTACCTACCGAATCGAAGGTCTATGAGTTTAGTTTCCAACGCAACAAACCGTTCGTTAATACGACTTCGGAGTAGAGAGATATTAACATTTTTGTACAGGGGTGCACACTGTTACGGGAACAGTGTGCCTAGTCGGGTTTAGTCAAAATTTCTTTATTTAAGTCAATTTTTAAAACAGAACCCCTGCGTTTTATCCTCTCCAAAACAGAACCAAAAACCTAGGGATTTCCTCTCAAACTTCTCCCATCCATCTAGCCAAGCATAACAACAATTTAGTCATCCTCAAGATGGAGAACACCATGGTAGCTTCGGAATCATGAATTCTTCTGTGTTTCACTTTTCATAACAAGACTCCGCCTTGAAGTAATTTCGAATTTTGAGTAATTCTGGTCACATAAGGTATGATTTAACTTC